TATTAAAACATTATTAATATTAATATTAATTTTAATAAATAAACACCTCAGAAACGCCTGTAATGATACAAATTTTACGACCGTTTTATGAATTTGAGGCACATTTAGTGCTATCAACAATTTGTGAACGGATAATAGGGTATTTTTGGTGAAATTGGAAGTACAGTACTAACAAAAAATATAACAGTAGATGCTTTACGTGTCATTGTACTTCCATGAGAAGTTTCATAAATATTTTCTCTTTCGTTTCATATATTTAAAATTATTATATTATTATATTTAAAACAAATACCCATAAATATATTGTTCTTATTAGATAATGTTACAAATTGCTAACACTGCTATGCTAATTTCCTGGATTACTAGGAACTATGTAAGAATAATTTAACAATTAAATTTCATGTAAATTAATACAACATATGGTTAGACTATTAAATATTTGACAAATTGTTTAAATAAGAGAACACCGAAAGTGTATATATTAATTGTTAGCTATTTAAAGAACCACGTATTTGTTAAACATAGTTTATGTTTTTTAACGTTATATAATAAAGAATCCTAATCTGCCCAATGTTTCTTATGTTGAAAGAATTGTTTAGGTAGATATAATAGAACCACTTCAAAGAATTCTTTTTTAATTCTTAAGTCGACAGTCAGGCAATAGTGACAATTATTGCTTTTGAAGACAAACATATGACTTGTACATGGTGGTCCACTGGTACTTTGCTTCTATTGTAGCTGTTGCTGACATGCTGGGTTTACTTATACTACAGTAAAACTTCTGTAAACTTATTGTAAGTAGATATAAAACTAGTTATATAAGTAGGTTCTTATGGTCATAAAACTGGGTACTTTGGTTACATCGAGTGTGATTCGGAAAAACTATTTTATAGTTTATTCATCCTTTGTTTGCGATAATCTGATCTAAGGCCGGTTCCACACAACATTGGGTCAAATATTCGGTGAGGCATCCACACATTGGGTTGAGTATTGGGGCGATATCAGTCTGTAGCGAAAATCCCTTTAATGTGTACGCAAAAACCGACAGTCCACGGAAAACTCCCAACTTTGGAGCTAGTCATAAAAACGTTGGCGCCAACATTGGCCCCAACACAGTTTTGTCGGTACACACATTGGACGAACGTTGTTGGGGCCAACGTTGGCCCCCATGTGTGGAGCTGGCGTAAGAGTAAAGCTGTCTTCGACTAAAAGAAAGTTTTTAAGTTTGTAAGAAAAAATGTCGGTGATAAAATCATTTGAAAAAAATAGTTATAGTGTATGTAAAATTGACATTTTAAAGAAAAAGCCCGATTTAAAAAAAGTGGTACAGTGAAAGTGAAAATGTTCAACAAAAAAAGAGGATTAAAACTGAAGGTATTGCTATCGACACTAGAGTCTACGATTGGTTTTGTAAAGTGAGAAGTAAGAACATTCTAGAATCTGGACCGATAATAAAAGAAAGAGCTTTAGAGACGACGAAAGAACTCAATTTGAATTTTAAAACTTCCAATAGTTGACTTGACAAGTTTTGCTTAAGACATAACAATAAATTTAGAGCAATTTCTGAAGCAGCTGCAAATGTTAACCTTGACGACCTTTCAGAGTCCAAAGAAAACTGCCAAATTTATTAAGTGGCTATTTACCTGAAGATATTTATAACGCTGACGAGACTAGTCTGTATTATTAAGCCTTACCAAGTAAAGCTTTTACATTTCGTAATAAAAAGTGCACTGGGGAAAAATCTGCTAGGGAAAGGCTGACCGTATTATTGTGTGCAAATTTAAATTTGGAAAAAGAACAACTTTTGGTTATTGGTAAAAGGAAAAATCCTCGATGATAAAAAAATTTTCATGTTGATAAACTCCAAGTCAACTGGTACTACAACAAGAAGGCTTGGATGACCAGAGATATCATGACAGATTGGCTGCACAAATTTGACAGAACAATGCAACATCAAAAAAGAAAAATTCTCTTATTCCTAGACAATGCAACATTTGAACCGTACATTCAGTTATCTAACATATCGATAATATTTTTGCCATTTAATACTACAGCATATTGTCAACTGTTAGACCAAGGAATAATTAAAAACTTTAAAGACAATTATAAAAAAATCTAAATTTCTGTATAAATGTCTTTAAGAAATCTTCGCATTTCTACTTTGATGTTTTAAAAACTTTAAATCTGTATAGAAAGTTTTTGATCAGAAAATTGTTTTCATCTATAGAATGTTCTTTGTCAACGGCTGAACTAGAGAAGTCTATAACGATTGCTAACGCCTGAATTTGGATTGTGGTAGCACGGAGAGATGTTTCAACCAAAACAATTGAAAACGTATTTCAGTGCGGTTTTGTCATCCTAGTAATTATTCACCCCTTCACCGTCTTTTATGGAAAACCAATTATTTTGTTAGGTTAAAATTTAAGGTAAAACAATATTATTTTACAATTTCACTCTCCTTTACTCATAACTGAAATAAAAAAGTGTTCTGTTAAGTTTATACTAAACTTTGTTCACCATGATAATTTTTTTCCCCTAAACCAATCTTATTTGGAAACGTTCCTGCTAGCTTAATATTCGAACCAGCGGAATTAATAAAAATCATTTTTGAAATACCAGTGTTTTGCTAGGCTTTTACGAATTTATTACCACTCTAGTAATTTTTCATCCTCAACTAACCCATGTGGAAAGTCAACAATTCTTAGATTAAAATTTAAGGTCATGAAAAATCTATTTTTACAATTTTACTGTACTCAGTCAATATATCTGTTAGGTTAAAATTTATAGTAATTTTTTTTATATTTAACTCTACTTTACTAATAATTAAAATAAAAATGTGTTCTGATAAGTTTTTGCTACACTTTCACCAACCTGATAATTTTTCACCACTAAAGCAATCGTATTTGGAAATGTTCCCGCTAGCTAAATATTCGAGCCAGCAGAATTAAAAAATATATTTTTGAAATACCACAGTGTTTTGATATGTTTTTACAACTGTATTACCAGCATAGTAAGTTTTTACCCCTTAACTACTCCTTGTGGGAAATCAATATTAAGCTATTAAGCAGACGCTAGAATATTAAGCCAGCTAATTCAAATAAAAATACTTTATTCTTAAATACTTAATTATTCTGCTCAATTTTTACTAATTTTTCGCCTCTCAACTATCCGTTCTAGTTTAGGTTAAAATAAAAAAATAGTAATTATTAAATACCACTGTGTTCTCCAAAGCTTTTCCAATTTATTTACCACCTTCACAATTGTTTACTCTTCTATGAGAAGCCAATAATTCTGCTAGGTTGAATTTTGAACTGACAAAACAAAATTAAAAAAGGCATTTTTAATAATTTTTTTGTATTGTACTTTTACTTCAACCTTTTACTATTTTTTGCTATCTTCGTATTTTTCACCTTACACATTACGCACTTTAGGCTCTAATTTTGAGGGGCGTGAAGTCGTACTTTTTCATCCGGTATAATAAAAACGCATTTCAAGACTTGAAAATCAACTCTAGACGTGATCGTACGTAGATGAATGTGCATTGGTTTTTACCATTAAAAATTACTCAAAAACTATTGTACTCAGCGTAAAACACACTCAGGGACAGTACAGAGGCGCTATATTTGCAATTTATTGCCATATATTGAATAATAGCGAAGAGGGCGGTATCAATCTAATATCCGTTTAAGACAGCCCCCACTCCTTGATTAGCGGTACACTTTGCTCAGGCCTATGGATGTACCTAATAAATACAAATCTTTTATTATTTTAACAATAGGTGTGCAAGGTGTCCCGACCCTCCTCCAATTAGGTAATTAGTGTAGTAGACATAATAAAATGTAGTAGACATAATAAAATTATTTCAATTTGAATATTTCTTACCTGGTTATTATTCTGTGAAATATAACAATTCCATTGTGTTAACTAAAACTCAACTTGATTTTAGTTATTTTATATTCATAAAATGGACTCACGATTCGATTTCGCTTAGCTCACGACTCGAATCAGAGTAAATTTCTTAAGACAGTTAAAATTTATAATTTTTGGAATAAAGTATTTTCATATTTTCAATATTTAAACATTTAAAAAATAAATATTAGTTAGCACAGAGTAACATTTCAGAATGTTTTCAATTAAGGTAGTTGAGAAAAAAATGACTATGCTGATAGAAATATGTCTAGCAGAGCACTTTTGTACTTCCAAAAAGATTTTGCATTTAGTTAGCGTAAATGCGTAGCTTGTTGATTGTTTCCCATTAACTGTGGCTTAGGGGGTCAGAAAAATTATGAGGGTGGATAAAATTCAGTAAAAACCTAGCAAGCAATTTATACTTTCAGTTACAAGTAGAGTGCAGTAAAATTGAAAAAATAGATTTTTTATCAACTTAAATATTAAACCAACATAATTATTGACTTCTCATAAGAATTAGTTGAGGGGTGAATAATTACTAGTGTGGTAATAAATTCGTAACAACTTAGCAGAGCACTGTGGTATATAAATATGAATCGCTCCGCTTAAGAGTAGTTTGGTGGTGAAAAATTTTTAGGGTGGTAATAAATTAGTAAAAATAGGTGAAAAAATGTGCCATTAACAAAAAGTTTTTTTCTCAATTCTGCTAGCTTGAACCTTAGGCCAGCAGAATCGCTCCATTTAAGGCTGGTTTGGTGATGAAAAATTATTAGGGTGGTAATAAATTAGTGAAAAATGAGTAAAAAAGTATTACGTAGATTAAATTGCTTAGAGTTCTTAATTGAAATGCCCATATGCACTTTCTTCTTTTCACTGAGAGCCCCTCATTTGGACATACTTTAAAGAGCGTAGGAGCAATGCACCCTTGCTAATATAAATGTCTCTGATCAATTTGTTAACATATTAAATATATGCATAATTAAGTAATTGTACATAGACGTATAAAATTATTAATAATAACAATAAAATACATACAGTTATTTATTTTATAGAAAAAATTTATACATAATCAAAAAGCCATTCAAATCGTTATCTGTGTGAAGTTATCTCAGTAGTAAACCAAAGGAGCTGAGTAAGCAACAGGAGCTACTCCCGCTGAATATACTGGTGCTACAGCAGGATAACCGGTATAAGTGACATCAGATACTACTGCAGCAGGAGCGCTGTAAGCTGCAAGTAGTTGTGGTGCAGGAGCTGGTCTGGGTGCTGCGAAAGCTACGGCCAACATGGCGAAAAACAAAAACACAGCCTGTAAAAGTAAAGATTTTATAAACTTTTAAAATTATAAAATTGTGATGAATAATATTAATTTAGTAAATTAATACACTTAATGCTAAATATGTATTAGTTCTAAATATGAAATTTAGTTGTAAAGCAATATACAAGAAAATTTTGCTCTTCTAAATATCAAATAGGCCTCCGTACATGACAGAGTAAGGTTAAGAAAGTTCTCATTTCTAACACGACGTATGCCAATGGTTAATGACTTAAAACAATAGAAGAGAGGGTGAGCGGAATATGATCTTCATTCCAGCTTGTGGGAAGGGTAACTTTTACACAGTAAGCCAGCTTTGGTAGAACGTACTGCTACCATAAAAAGGTTCGATTTAGCTTTAATACAAGAGCTCTCTGAATAATTCAGGGCAAAATAAAACGTTTATTGCTTGTTGGTGGAAAGTCTATAATATAGCAAATCTGTCAAAAACTCTATAACTTGTATATACAATGGTTATAAAACAAACGACTTTAACGGAAGAAAAAAGTGAAGAGAGGTATATTAGGAAATATAAATTTGAAATTAATAAAAAAACAAAATATATGGAGATGTACTGAAACTTACTGAAAGTATGGATTGAAAAAAAATCAACATACCCTTGTTGGAAAAGTAACCCTTAAACCACGTGGAGAAAAAAGAAAACCTTGGATGACAGTAAAAATTCTTAAACTTATGGAAGAACGAAGAAAACATGTAGCAAAAGACCTAAATAAATAGAAAGAGATTTACGGAAACATCGGAAAGAAACTTCAAGATGCAAAAGAGAGGTGGTTCTCCGATAGAAGCAAAAAAATGCAAGATCTGGATAAAAAGTATAACACCCTTAATTTAGACCAAAAAATAAAAGAAATGCAAATGTTAGAAATAGGACAATCATAAATATTCTAATGATAAGGGGGATATTTTAACTGATATAAAAGAGAGATTGAGTCACTGGACCAATTACTTTTAACAACTATTTAATGATAAAAGAGAAGAATTGTTATTAAAAACCACAGAGGATACCGAACTACCAATATTACGAGGAGAAGTAATTTATGTCATCAAAAACAAAAAAGTTGGAAAAGCAAAGATAATGTGCCTATCAACTCATTAAAACTTATTGATAAGGATGTTATGGTTGAATTCTCAAAAGGTAAAGTACAACAACCTGCACAGATTACGAAAAAATAGTTTTAATGAGTCACACACTTTTTCAAATTCTTATATATGAAACCAGTGACACAAATTTTGGTTTTAGAAATGGTATGGCCACAAGAGATAATTTATTTTGATTAAATGTGCTGTCCCAGAGATGAATAAACATGAACCAATACATGTACTTGTGTTTCCTAGACTTTTAAAAAGGCCTTTGATAAGGTTCAACATAAAAAGGTGTATTGTAGATATATTAAAAAGCAAATATTGACAGCGTGGTATGAAATTCGTTTTCAATCTAGCTTGGAATCAAATTGCCAAGGTAAGAATTGACAACCAGAATATCCGAGATATCAAAATATAGAGAGGAGTCCGCCAAGGATTGTATGCTATTCATACTGTCTCCAGTGAAGCATTATTGAAAGAAACCCTTGCAGATTTAATAATTGCAGACTTGCAGACAATACAGCGGATGCTTTCATGAATACGAACTGAAGGAAGATGAATTTGAAGAAAATTCAATACATGATTATGACTAAATTAGCAAATGTAATTAATTATTGAAGACATTGTAATTGGGAGAGTGGATAGCTGTAAATACCTATTATTACAACTTTTATGCAAGATAAAACTTGAGAAACATAAAATGTGCGAAGACGAAGACCTGGTTTAACAACTTACAAGAGATGGTTTGAGGTACTTGAAGAAAAATATATGGAGATACGGAAAAATGAACAATATATAGAGAAGTCATTTAAAATGTGTAACCCAAATAAGAATTATAATTATTAGAGAATTCATTTATTTAGAATTAACGCTAATAAGTATGGATTAGGATTGTTCTGAAGCTATTTTCTTGTCATATTTGAATATTAGTAACTATTTTTATTGTGGTTAATTAAAAATGTAAATATTTCGGAGCGTAAGTAAGATATTGGGGTCGAAAAAAATACGTAGTTAATTATACATCACAGTTATTTGACCTATAGAGCTCAATGTAAGCCATATCTGGAATCTGACATCCAAATTAGAGCGAAACATTTTTCAAAAAACATGACATGGAGGCATAAAAGTGAATAATGTATGAAGACGAAAAACAAACAATGACATATCCAAAATAACATTGACTTAAAATTTAAACTGAAGCTGGTACAACAACAGAGAACGCTTACGAAGATAATAGAGTCAGTACTAGTAGATATCAAATTTTTAAAAGTCACCGATTGAAAAAACTAGCATCAGATAATGAGCAAAAAGTATAGAAATTATGAACCGTTCGGCTGATATATTTATAAAAAGAAACTAATTAAAAAATTATATACCGACTAAATTTCTTATTAAAAAAATCTGATACTTACTTTAAACATCTTGGTATATTGTGCTTAGATTCTTGAAACCTAATAATACATTTTGCCTGATGTAGTCGACTTTTATAATACTTGTCAAATGCAAATTTCGGAATCTATTATATTTGATCTTATTGTTCTTTTTTTTTTTCTAAACTTCTCGTACGAAATCAGTAGTATGCAAGGACAACTTCTTCGTCTTTTGATTGATGTTAACAAAAAATAATAGGAAGTAAATATTAGTTAGTGATGCGTAAGTGACATTTAAATAAAAAAATTAACGAAACTTCTTGCAATTAAAATTAGGATATTTTCGGTTTTTTAATATTTTAATAATATTTGATACCACAAAATTAAAACAAATGGTCTTAACAGATTTAAAGAAAGTTTATAATGTAACAAATGCACGCGTGTAAGTTTTATGTGACTGGCGGTTCAAAAAAAAAAATTTCAGAGTTTTAGAAGCCACATTAAATACTATAATGATGTTTTGCATCATTTATAATGATGTTTTGCAATTATTATTTTGTGGCTTCTATTGTTCTTAATACATAGGGTATAACAAAAAATGCACTTGAAATAATTGTATCTGTTCTGGAGCCAAACCTAATTCGATTGAACCTTATTTACCCGAGTGGTATAAGCATCATTAAAATAAATGACCGAATATGTGTACAGCGTGAACATTTTATAGAAGTTAAAATCCCGGAAAACTTCCAAATTTTTATACTTCCAAATGTTATTCAATCCATCTGCTCCAAAAAAAGTCTACTGCATCTTTTTCTTTATCTTTGCGATGGAAGAAGGAAGTCAATCATCATTGCTGTTCTGATATTTGAAAAAATGTTAAATCAATTTGTCTAAATTAATATTATAATTATAATTCTCTCTCTCTCTTCAATCCTGACCCCCCAGGGGGAGTGTAGTGGTCGACGTGATGTCGTGTATTGTTTGTCTCCAGAGATCTCTGTCTCTGGTCATTTCTTTTAATTCATGCATAGGTCTTTGGCATATTCCTGTAATTTGATCTATCCATCTTGTTGGGGATCTGCCTCGTGATCTTCGACCTTCTACCTTTCCTTGTATTATGAGTCTTTCCATGTTTTCTGTGTTTTGCTCTCATAACATGCCCAAAATATTTTAATTGTTGGAGATGCACTTTACTAGAGAGTCGTTGGTTAACTTTTAGCTCTCTTAAAACTGAATTATTTGTTTCTGCGGTCGGTCCAAGGAATTCGTAACATTCGTCTCCAACAGAACATTTCAGTGGCGTCTATCTTTCTTCTCTCCGATTGTCTCAGAGTCCAAGATTCACATTCGTAGGTCAGTATTGGGAATATTAAGCAGTTGATCAACCTCATCTTTATCGCTCTTAAAATTTGACAGTCCTTCCATATTTTGGTCATTTTTGCTGTGGCAACTTTTGCTAGATCAGATCTACGTTTAATCTCTTCTTGTAGTGACCCTGTGTTTGTGATTAATGATCCCAGATATAAGTATGATCCCAGATATAAGTCTATCCACTATCATGATCTTTGTCTTTGATATGTTTAATTGCAGACCAAATATTTGACTTTCGTTTTCGATCAGTCGTATAAGTTCTATCAGCTCTGCTTGATTATTTGCAAGAAGGGCTGTGTCATCTGCAAAACGTAGGTTGTTTAGTTTATGACCATTTATTGAGATGCCCTTTTCCCATCCTTCAAGTGCTCTTCGCATAATATACTCCCATAATAATTATAATTATTTCACGTAAAAATAGATGATGATCTGGAAACTATGAAAATAGACCTTGGCAACGGTGTGAGACAGGGCTACACTATCTCACCCAAGTTATTTACTTTGGCATTAGAAAACGTTTTCAAAAAACTTAATTGGGCCGAAAAGGGAATAAAAATAGATGGAGTATATCTTAACCATTTGCGTTTTGCAGACGACATAGTACTAATAAGCACATATATCCATGAACTAAAATCAATACTTCTTCTTAACGTGTCCTATCAAGTCCCCTTGACGTTGGCGATTAACATGGCGAAACTGTCTCTGTCTCGAACTATTCTAAATAGTTGCTCAGCAATTTGATTGGACAGGATAATTTCTTTATTCCTGTTCAATCCCTGATATTCTTCAACCAAGAGGCCTGCTTTCTACCAATTTCTCTGCGTCCTTCGATTTTACCCATCATAATAAGTTGAAGAATATTATATCGGTCTCCTCTTACTACGTGTCCAAAATAGGCCATCTTTCTACATTTCATGTTATCAAGCAGCTCGCGAGCAGAATTTGCTTTCTCAAGGACTGCCACATTTGTCAGCATAGCCGTCCATGGAATTTTTAGTATACGTCTGTGCAGCCACATTTCAAAAGCCTCCAGACGATTAATGGTGGATATTTTTAATGTCCATGCTTCGACACCGTATAAGAGACCTGACCAAATGTAGTATTTAACCATGCGCTTTCGAAGTTGAAGTTGCAAGTTATCATTACAGAAGAATGACCTCATTTTTAAAAATGTCGTGCGGGCTATCTCGATTCTACATTTTATCTCTTGATCTGGATCTAGTTGTTCAGTAATATGGCAACCAAGATATTTAAAACTGGACACTCTTTGAATTATATGACCATCAACATATAATCGTGCATTTTGATGTGCTAAACGGCTAAACACCATGCGTTTTGTTTTTGAACAGTTTATGTTTAGGCCAAACTCTCTTCCCACTGTATCAATGGCATTTAAAAGGCATTGTAATCCATTCATGTCATCACTTAAAATAACTGTATCGTCTGCATATCTGATTGTATTTATCAGAATTTCATTAACTTTCACGCAAATTACAATTCCCAATTATGCAGCGCTTCTTTAAATATTCTATCTGAATATAAATTAAATAACAGATCATTAAATACCATCATAAATAACATCAATTAAATAAAATCAACGCTACAAGATTTAAATCACAAATCGAATCAAATAAGATTAAAAATGAATCTCGACAAAACAAAGATATTAAGCAACAGCCTAGAAAACATCACGATAGATAACATCAATATAGAAAAGGTAGAATAATATATATTATTGTGATATTTAAAGTCTTGGTGCGCCAAGCAATAATTAGCTAATTAATTTTTTGATTAATTAAAATTATTTAAATGATATGATTATGACTCTATCACAATGTTTAATTCTTTTATCTCAGGGTTAAACTCGTGCTTCAATATCTATGCTATTACATGTGAAAGGTAAGGTCCAAAGAATACCGGAATAATAAAAAACACATATGATCTAACACTATATATTGAAATAAAAATAATGAAATAATTCACACTTAAAAGTTTTCAATTAACAAAATCTCATATAATAATTCTCAAAATTTTGTTCTACGTACGTGAACAATCAAAATTAATGGTACAAACAATATTAGTTGAAATCTCAAAATCCAAGTATTACTCTAAATCTCCTAATCAAAATATTTATATCCTTTCTAAATTAAGTGTAAAAAATTTGTGTTATCAATGAAAGAAAACTGCAGAAAACAAAACTATTTCTCTCTGATGATGAGTGTCCAAATCCTTGTTATTTGTAGACTATGCTATTTACTCGTGGCCGCTCCCTAAGTAATCAGCAATCTTACAATAAATTATTGCAAGTATCTCGTCCTTAATGATCTCCTTCAAATGCATGAACCGTTCAAATTATGCTAGCTTCTTCTTCTCTCAATAAACTGAATCTCTCGTTGGCCTGAGTGAAAAATGACTCTTGGAATATCTTTTCTTTACGATAAACTGAATCTCTCGTTGGCCTGAACAGTGACTCTTGGAATATAAGTAGAAAAATATGACTTACAATATTTTACTGGATCAGCTTCTGTCAGATACACTAACTACACGAAAACTCATAAACTTTCACTGCTACTGCTTCCTACCTCTGGGAAACTACCCGAGAACAACAGCGTTCGCCTTGCACCCTTGGAAACCAACTGACTATCTTTTCTCACTCCGAAATCTAGCTAAACTTTCATTCCTACATACCTATCCCACCTTTTTCAATCTCCGCCAATCAAACTCGTCACAATTTTCCCATTTTTTTCATTTCGATAACAAACAACTTTTTACCTATAATTATAAAATTTCCTAAAACTTATTTACAAATAATATTTTTCTACAATTCTTAAAAACTAACAAAAACCTCTTTCTATTGTCTTTAATCGCTGCGTTAATGTATTTGGAAAACCCGGTTCAATTGTTCTTTGGATTTCACTTAAAATTATGCGGGTCACTCAAGTATAGTATAACAAAGGAAATAATTTATGCATAGCTTACATTTTGTTTAATACAGGTAATCCAAAAATTTAAAAACTTTCTTTCCTCGAAATGTTTGTTGGTTATTATCTTACTTATCTGAATTATTTAATGATTTTGAACTTTGAAATATTTTGATCAAACCAATATTTTTATCGATTTTACATATCATAACAATATATATATATATATATATATATATTATATATATATAATATATATATATATATCTAGGACATGCAATTAAAAACGAAAAGGAAAATCAAACCCTAGAAATTAAAAGAAGGACACAATTGTCATGGGCTGCTTTTGGTAAGTTGAGCTTCATTTTAAAAGACAGAAAAATTCCAATTCACTTAAAACGAAAAACCTATGACACTTGTATACTACCAGTTGCAACTTATGGATTGGAAACTATGGCAATAACAAGAAAAATGGCAGAACAATTAAGAGTAACTCAGCGGGCCATGAGAGGGCCTCAGAGACAAAATTCCTAACACCGGAATACGTCGAAGAACTAAAGTATACGACATCATGGGACTAATAGCGACATTGAGAAGGCAATGGGTAGAACATGTAGCAAGACAAAACACCAACAGATGGTCTCATAAGACCTAAAAAGAGATGGATAGACGATATAACTGCTGTAGCTGGAAAGCAGTGTATGAGAATTGCAAAAAAAAAGGGAACCGTGGAAACAATTGGAGGAGGCCTAAGTCCAACATTGGATAAATGAAGGCTGAAGAAGAAGAAGATTCTCTTCGGATTCGGACTAAACAAATAGGAAAACATTTAACAGAAATAGCCAAGTTCTAACTCCGGTGAAAGACATAAGGGGAAACTGTAATAAAAATAACATAACCTAAGCACCGTGGCGTCATGTAATTTGTTTGACTATTTATGTCCAATTATCTCTCACCTGTGCGTGTTGTTTTGCTGCGGAAAATGAGTAACCAATTATGTCTTTTATTTGGTCCGACCATCGTACCGGAGTGTTCCCTGATGAAAAGCAGCAGCGATCATCAGTTCCAACTCAAGGCGCAGAGGAAATGATCCTGGAGCGGCTTGAAACTGGACTACCACAAGAATGACTGGAGCATTTTGAATGGTTATGGTACTGCGATGGGGAAGACAACGGAAAACCATCCCATAAAAATTTCCTATAATAGTTATCATGGCAATACACTACGATAACAAAAACATTACTGATCATGGTGATCGGATCCCAAGACCCAACAGGGGAAGATGCATACAACCGAATAGTAGGGCCTCCCAGACCAGATTGGCCAGATAGTTTGTCAACATATTACCCTATTCTCTTCATAAAATAATTCACAGCATACTTATTGCATTCCATATTTTTAATATATATTTTATTTTTAGTTTGCTTTCTTGTTCGCTTTTTTGGCTGTAGCTTTCGCCGCACCAAGGGCTCAACCAGTACCACAAGTATTAGCTGCATACAGCGCACCAGCAGTTGTTAGCAGCTACTCATATCCATATGCCGCCGCTAGTTACTCTGCTCCAGTTGCTTACTCCGGATATGGTTCTTTAGCTTATTCTGCACCACTAGACTATTATTGATTTAATTAGTATACAATTGATTTGTATGCAATGGAAGTTAATTCGACAAAAACTCGTGAATTCAATACTCCTATGTTTATGTGCTTTGTGGATTATACAAAAGTCTTTAATAAAGTCAAATGGCAGCAGCTATGGTCTATACTAGGATGGACGGGCGGAATATCAGTAGGAGGTCAAAAAGTCAATAACTTGAGATATGCTGATGACACTTTAATAATCACGGCGAATCAAGAAGAAATGGCAGACATAATGAGATGTCTGGAGGAAAAAAGCAAAACATACGGATTTAAGCTAAATAGGAGTAAGACAAAGATCATGATAGTAGACAGAGCTCGGAATAATCTTCAACACATTAAAGAAGTTGAGGGCTTTGAAGTAGTAAATAGTTTCATATACCTGGAGTCCCTGAGGGTGTGATAGAGGGATACGTAGAATGTTGACTATTGCTAGAGCAGCTATGATGAAACTGGTAGCAATTTGTAAAAATTCTAGCATAACAATACACACAAAGCTAAGGCTGGTAAGGGCGCTTTTTTTTCCCATAGCTACATATGCATCCAAAACGTGGACCTTAATGTGGATAAAAATAAACTGGACGCTTTTGAAATGTGGGTATACCGCCGCATTTTGAGAATATCCTGGATTGATCATCGCACTAACGTATCGATATTAGAACAACTTAAAGTAAAGGATAGATTGCTTAAAACAAATGTGACAGAGATATTTACAATATTTTGGACACATTGCTGGAAGAACAGGTATGATGGAAAACCTTATAGTCGAGGGTAGAGTTAAAGGAAAGAGACCTAGATTAAGATCTCCAAAGCCGTTGGGTAGATCAAACAAAAATAATAATTAAGCAAGGGTTACATGAAGCCGAACAACTAGTTCAAGACATTGAAGGATGGAGGGAAATCGTGAGAAAACTGTAAAGGCCTGATGGGGTCACCACATCCCAAAAGGGATTAGGACTGAGGAGGAGGAGGAGCTCATTTTTTTCACCATAGTTTTAAAAAATAAATACAATGTTTTGATATTTGATGATGAAAATGATTCTAAGGTCATTGGTAGCCATCAGGAAGATGTTTTTGATAGTAGCGATGATGACAACAGTGGTAAGAGCGATGATAATTTGTATATTCAATTAATTTTGTAATTTTTGCTTATTGAGAAAATGTACAATAAGTTTTATATTAACTAATTAATATTTTTAATGCAATATTAAATATTTATTTATTCATACTCTAATATACCGTTTATTTCCTTTATAATATATATATTTTTTTTCATTAACAATATAAATGATTTCTCGAACCCATAGGTGAATTTTTCCATGAAAACACACAATAATTTCATGTAAAATATACCTTTGGGTTCTTACATTTTTATTTCTTATAGTGTACACCATATTTGTATCTATTTGATTTGCTTGGTCTGCTCACATTTGCCCATTCGATTTGTATAATTTTTTTAATATTTCCAATTCTAAACTTTCGTTGGTAAATTTTCAGTTTTCTCTAGAAGTTTTACAAAGCGTACTTTTACGGTGTTGCCATTTTGTTATACCTTGTTTGGCATCTTTACCTAGATCTTGATTTATAAAATATATAATTTTTATTTCAAAATCCTTCAACTTACGATAGTTTTTCGTTACATTTTTTTTGTGTTCAGCAACAGCAAATTTTATTAGGCATAAATTTCTTCTGGTTTTCTGAAATTAGTAATATTCTTTTTAGTTTAAATGTTTCTGTTGAATCAATTGCTAACCCTCACAATCTTTCCTATCAATCGTCTGAACACTATTTGTTTTGTTTTTTTTTATATACTATTTGGTTACTTCTTATAGGTGTTTAATTTTTAATTAAAAAGAAACAAACAAATATTCCTTTCAAAACTATTTATTTATCTTAAAACTAATTGCCGAATCAATTTTCATTGCACACAAATCAATTGTATCCTAATTAAATCAGTAATAAGCTAGTGGTGCAGAATAAGCTAAAGAACCATATCCGGAGTAAGCAACTGGAGCAGAGTAACTAGCGGCGGCATATGGATATGAGTAGCTGCTGACAACTGCTGGTGCGCTGTATGCAGCTAATACTTGTGGTACTGGTTGAGCCTTTGGTGCGGCGAAAGCTACAGCCAAAACAGCGAACAAGAAAGCAAGCTAAAAATAAAATAAATATTAAAAACATGGAATGCAATAAGTATGCTGTGAATTATTTTATGATAAGAATAGTTTTTTTATATTCATTAAAAAATTCATAGTAATGACAATCTTTTGGTCATTTTGAAATCAAGAAATTGGCTAATATGTTGACAAACTATCTGGCCAATGTCTTAGAACGAGTACTCAAAAAGCGGGGCTGGCTAGATAAGATAATTAGAATAAATGGAAAAGGAAACAAATAACCCTATATTTGCGATGATATTATCATGATAATATTGTAGTCTAAATAAAACATATAAAACAAAAGAAGAAAGTGGAATCGATTGGGATAGATAAGCAAAAAATAAGTGTGTTTCAACGATTTCTCATTTTTATTCAATTTATCCTTCCAATAGTAACATTTGATGGTACTATTGGATCAACACAAGATGAGAGGATAACAAATGGAGTACCAAAATTATTTAATGTAGAAAAAACTCTCGAAATACACCAACAACATGGCATACAAAAGATTTCAGGATTAAATTGGCTATGGAAAGTACACAAAAAAACGATGGCGAAGATAAAAGTGGATTTTGCGAAAAAAATTACAATAATTATAAAAAATGTAATAAAAAATGTAAAAAATATAAACTTAACTTAACCTAATATAGCACCTTGGTTAATCTTAAAATGTATCAATACCCAAACATATATATTAAAATATTAATTAGTTTACTATTGTAAAGTAGATCAAGTGGAGAGGTAAAAATAGTAGCAAAAGAATCAATGAATAAAAAAAATGTGAGTTTCAGTCTATAATATTTAGTATTACTACTAAGTTATTGTTAATGAAGTAAAAAGCATTCCTAAATAAACACACTGTAGTATTTTTTTATTAAAAATTAAGTTTTTGTAAAATAAATGTTTAGATAAATTAAATGTAAAATAATTTAAATGTCAAATGATGAATACTTACAATTTTGAACATTCTGAGACGTTGATTTGATATATCAATAAGATAAATGGTAACTCTTCCAAGGGACAGCATTGCTTTTATATAAAAATTAGCCCACTTATATCCGCAATGTAAATTTCAAATGTGATCCAATAAATTCTAATGATTTTTTTGTTCATATTGTTACAGTTTTTTATTAATCTTTCAAGGATGTTAACCAATTGATTGACATTCTGAAAATGGTTTTAATAATATTATTAGATCTCTAAAACAAATAGCTATAGCTATTTATTTTAGAGGTTAATGTAATGTTAGATACAATTTTAAAAAATTGAAAGAAACACATATTTTTTTATTTTATTTTATTTTTTAATTTCATGTTGCCAAAAATTTAAGTTAGATATTGTTAAATCTTTTCACGAACCTTGTGAATTAATCTCCTCCTTTTTCACTATGCTTCTTTTGAATACTTGCTTTTGTGGTTTGTTTTTTATTTGTGGTTTCATTTTGTGGTTTGTTTGGTTTTGAAAGAATTATTTGAAGTCCTAGGAAGGTCTAATGATGGAAAATATAAGTAAATTATAAGAAGAATAGTAAAAACAGTGGTTTTATTTTCCATAACAACAGGTACAATATACCCTCATATAAAATGTTTTATAGGACGCTACCTATAAGGAGTGCTAAATATAAATTGACGTTAAACAAACTAACTCTAGAAACTGTTTTAGCTCCACACTTCAAAATTTCGTCAGTCTCAGTGTAGTGGCTTTAGAAAGCATACTTCTACTTTGAGTAAAATATTTTGTGTATTTCGAACAAAAAAGTTTTAACTATACGTTAAACGTATCTAATTACTTTTTGATTGAAAATTATAAGTAATATGTAAAACTATTGAATAAATAATTAATTATTTTTAACTTGTATAATCGGTGAAAAATATTATTTATTATAGATTATTTCATAATAAACAGCAGACTGTGGCATTAACTTGTTCAAAAGGAGCAGATCATTTTTTACTCTTTCTGTACTCTTTACGAGGTAATTTTTTAAAATTTTTGTTTACATTGTACATTAAATCAAAAGAAATTACCTTTCAACACTTTCAAAAAAAAACACAACAATACACTTTCTTTAAATGATTAAGGATACTTACAATTCAACAGAAATATCGGTAAATCATCTTTTAAACTAGAAACTCTGCCACCAACTGAAGGTGCTGCCACCAAGACAAAGTGCCACTGGTTTTGAAACAATTTATACTCTAGATAATATTCCTGAAGAGACATTAAAGCACATTACATGCAAATGCACCACAGGTTGTAAAACGAGTAGATGTGGATGCAGAAAACGTAGTTTGAATTGTACGAACTTGTGCATAAATTGTACTGAGGAAGAAGTAGAGGAGAAAATATGCTGCAACCTCGGTACAGTTAGGTCTAACGACGACAGTCATTCTGAAGATGTATATTGATAGACTGACTTAATAAATAAAGACAAATAACCTGCAACAAAAAGGTTCAGAGCTGACAGTGAAGTCGAATGAATCAAATTTTAACTTTTAAACCAATGTATGTCAAGAAAATAAATAAAGTAGGGTTCAATAAACATTGCAAAATTTAATAAGACAAGTTTCGAAAAAATCGACTTATTTTATCAAAGCAGTAATGCAGATCAGATTAATATTGTATATCATATTTTTACGAAAAATGGAATAAAAATCAATATTGTTAATTATAAAAATACAAAAATTATAATTAATATACGGAATATAATAATATAATGTGTAAAAGATTACCTGAAATTTAATTTATAAAATATATAAGTATTATTACATCATCGATATACAATGAAAAAATATATGTTTGATTTCCGGGATTTTCTGAGATTAATAGGGGTGAAAATTATGTCATCATTATTAATACTGCGACAGACTATTCCAGCCAAATTTAAAAAAAGAATAGTAGGTTTTTACGGTGAATTTCAAATGGACTCAATTTTTCCGAGGTTTCCCATATTTTAATAAAACAGATGTTAACAAATCTTTTTTTTCCAAGATCGAATTTTTGTTAGAACAAGCAATTTTAGCTTTATCATATAAGGATTTAATGATTTCATTTTTAAAATTAATATTGTGATTTGATTCGAAATTTAAGTATCTGTTGGTGTGTGTTGATTTTCTATACACCTGAGTCTCATATCCAGTTTCGTTCTTAGAGATTAAAATATCCAGGAAAGGTAGTCTGTTATTGTATTCTTTTTCCATGGTAAATATTTGTCTTTTCTTTATCATTTGTATCAATCAGAAATGTCTGATCCATATCATAATGTCATATGTATATCATAATGTCTTATGTATAATCATAAATGTCAAACAGACATCTCTGATCCATGAGGCCATATAGAGCATGCATAATCTATATATCTCCACCATACTGTGGGTTTTAAATTTTGTTTAGAAATAATATTTGTTTCACAATCTTCCATAAATATATCGGGTAATAATGGGGATAAACTACAGATGTTAATAACTCCACTATAGCTGATATGTTTAGTCTTGTTCTAGTTGCCAATGTATCATCACTCTCTAATTTTGTCTTGACTATATTTAAAGTCTTATTTAAGGGCACATTAATGTGAAATCAAACCTGGAAAACCACAGAAAGCACATATAGCTTCTGCGGTAATTTCAAGTGTAACGTATATCGGTATATACTAGTATAGAAGTATATGCAATAGAATATGCAACACAACAAGAAGAATTTGCTAGGTAATAAATATACAAGATCTACCCAATTAAAGTTTTATAAGATAATGGCCGTACCAACACAACTCTAACAAGTGGTATTCCCATGTAGATAGAATAAGTGAAAACCGCGTAAAAAAACAGCAATAAAATACCACCTATGTGGAAGGCGCTGCATATGACGCCTCCGGAAAGATGGGCAGTTGAGCCGTACAAGTAGTAGCGCCTAATTCGTTAAGAAGATGGTTTAAGAAGCCCCTTAAAATCAAATTTTATTTAGATGAGGAAACGACATTTTCTATTATTAAAATATACCATGCAAGAATAAATATTAACTTAATTACTTCTCGGTCTTAACTTTAAAACTTCCAATAACTATAAAACTATAAAACTACAATAACTATAGTAATTTTCTTGAACATATCTCATTAATGATAAGCTAAGGCTCAAAGCTGTAATCCAACATCATATTTAGTATATTAAATGTCAGGCAATTTGTTTACATCCTTGGAGCCACACTAAAAAAACTGTAACATTATTGACAAGACGGATTAGAATGTATTCATTATCATTTAAAATTCATATCAAACGCATGAGTGGGTTGTCTTTGATATAAAAGCTCTGGTCTCTCGTTGAATTAGTTATTATTTGTCTTTGTGATAAATCAAATCAAGAGTCCAAAATGTTCAAAATTGTAAGTTTATTATAAGAACCATTTAAAATTATTCGTCCTGCTTATTTATTAATTATTACCTTAATGAAATAAATAAACAACGATATACATTTATTTTACAATTATTTCTGATTTGTTTTTTAGTTTCTTCTATTTTTCTGAATTATCTACTATATGTGAAAACAGCTCTTTTGTTTTCGGTTTCCTACTAAAATTCCTGTATTTTGGTACTTTTCTGCATTCTCCATTATTTAAAAGCCTTTCTCATTTAACGTTCCATATATATGAAAACATTTTTATTATCTGATTATTGTTAACTAGTTATTGTTACTTGGGAGTCTTATATTATTACATCTATTCTTCTTCTTGAACTTCTTTATTACCATAATATTTTGTATAATTTTTTTTATTTATTTCGTGAAACGCTTCTTGATAATCAGGGAATTGAATGTATCATGGTGTCGTATTTATACGTATTTTCCACAATCTCTTTTATATATGAATGAAGTATATTATTCAGTTTTTTTTTAAAGATACTGTTACGATCCTATTATTTTTTATCCTTGTATATTTTTAGTATTTTCTCACTAGGTCAGTCGTTACTCAATACATATGTTACATTCAGTAAATTGGTGCCTTGATATATTTTGATAATCTTTTATTACCTTTGGTGTTTAGTATTGTTAATATTTTTATGAATACTTTGATGCTTTAATTTTTATTTGTACAATATTTGCGATGTTATTTAATGAAGAAATTTCTTTCTATTTCTAGTCCATTTTGTTTCCAATTTGAATTATGAAAATTGTCTATTTTACCTCCATACAATAAATTTCATTAATGTATATTTTAAGATTTACTACCTATTATAAAAATATATCTTTTTTCATTTTTAGTTTGCTTTCTTGTTCGCTGTTCTGGCTGTAGCTTTCGCCGCGCCAAAGGCTGAACCAGTTCCACAAGTTTTGGCAGCTTACAGCGCACCAGCTGTGGTTAGCAGTTACTCCTACCCATACGCTGCTGCCAGTTACGCTGCTCCAGTTGCTTACTCTGGATATGGTTCTTTGGCTTATTCTGCCCCATTAGCTTATTATTAATTTGATGAATAATTTTGACCTGGCCATGTATATATGAAGAAAATTAAAATATAGTTAATTATAAATAAATCCCTTTTTTAATATTTTTTTGTTTATTTTAATTAAACTAACGAAATGAATTTTTGATTGAAACTAAGTTACATTAAGATTTTTATTGTAAAAAATAAGGTAGTGATGCTATGGTTTGTTGGAATTGCATAAGAAATTACTACCCCTCTATTTGTGCTAGGAAATCTCATGCAATGAAAGTAAATACAGTAAAATGGGGTTAATGTGCAAAAAGTGTGTTCAACTTACAGTTCCAGAGGTATTTAGGAGTACCAGTAATCGGAACCATCCTTATATCCCAGATATTGATACCATCAAAGAGATAATACTTTTTAATGAATAGAAGATCCTATAAACATTTTTTAATAAATTTTAAACAATTTAATTTTTATAATTGATGTTGTGTTACAATATGGTACTGAAAAGGACCGCTGGAATAAAGTTAGAGTGGAAAAAATATTTACTAAAATATATATATAGTAACTATATATTTCAATTATTTAACTCATGATATTCTATGAAAAAGATTTTATTTTGATTATTACATAAAAAAACATTACATAATATAAAGAACAAATTGACATCGGTTTAGATTTTATTTTATTCGTACTACAAACTTCACATCTTCCCCTTCGATCAACAAATTTTGGTCAGTGGTTTCCTCTATTGGATAATCTTATTTACGAAGAAACTTGCGAATCATGCGAACAGTGCTTTAAGACGTTTTTTCATTTAAGACGTTTAACATTCATCGTCAGTTAATCAAATGGGGTAGAGAATTCAGTAAAGTTGAAGATCAGAAGTTTACCATTAACGACCTTGCTTTGCGTATTTCTGAGATTTTCAAATTCATGTTCAGTGGTGTGGGCATCAAGTGATTATCAATTATTCACAAAATTAAAAGACCACTTGGGTGTCTTACGCTTCAGTACTGATGAAAAAGTCAAGGAAGAGGTTACTAGTTTCCTCAATGGATTGACGGTAGAATTCTATAACATGGGTATAGAAAAGTTGGAGCAAGTCTGCAAAATTGATTTTATATAAAAGGCGATTATGTAGAATAATAGTGTTAGTTTTGAGTCACTAAGAACAAAAATAAAGCTGTCTACTTTTAAAATTCATGGTAACCATATGTTAAGAATAAAAAATAAAAAAAGTATCAACAACGGAAACAAACAAATGTAGACTAGGAAAAACAAGGATTACAACTAAGCAAATAAATCTTAGCTGTGCCTAAACATAAAAAACCACATAGAATTCTACCGTTAATCCATTGAGGAATCTAGTAACCTCTTCCTTGACTTATTCATTGGTACTGAAGCGTAAGACACTGAAATGTTCTTGTAATTTTGTAAATCAGTGATAGTCACTTAGTGCAAGGTCCAAACTAATGGGGCGGGTAAGGCACAACAAGTCAGCCAAAAACTCATGCAGTTGTTCAGTTTGATGTGAAACACGAGGTCAAGTGTTGCCATGGAGAAGACTTACACCACTGGACATGAATTGTGGTGTGGGAAATCTCAGAAATACGTAAAGTAAGGTCGTTAATGGTAGACCTTTGATATTCAAGCAATTTTAATTCGAAAATTTCGTTTGAAACTGAGAGCCTTTCGCTTCGATCTTTATCGTAAATTTCCATTTGGCCTTTACTGAATGTTGAACACATATGCATTTTTTTAAACTGATGTCAATTTGTTCTTTATGCGAAGTTTTGAATATCATGAATTAAATAATTGAAATATATAATTACTATAATTTAGATTAATATTTTTATTAATATTTTAATATTATTTTTAATATTTTTTTCCTCCCTGAATTTATCCTAGTGGTGGTACTTTTTAGTACCATATTGTTTTGAGTAACAACAAAAGATCAATTATGAAAATTAAAATTATTTAAAATTGATTAAAATAGTTGAATGAAATGAAATAAAAAATGTATATGATGTCATAATAAAAACCGAAAATGAAGATGACCTACAAAGATTAATGAAAGAATTCGAAGATACATCGCTCATATACAACATGGTGATCTCAACAGAGAAAACTAAAGCGATAGTGATATCAGCGGAACCGAGACGATGTAAACTTATCGTAAAAAACAAAATAATAGAATAAGTGATGGAAACCGAATACTTGTAATAAAACTGTCAAGCTACGGAAAAGTGGAAGAAGCAGTACAAAAACAAGTAAACATGGCAAACAGAGCAGCAGGATGTCTCAACAACACAATCTGGAAAAACAAATACCTTACAACGGAAATGAAAACCAGGATACATAAATCAATAATAAGACAGATAATGACGTACACAGCGGAAACAAGAGCAGATACGGCGAAAACACAAATAATGCTGGAAACAACAGAAATGAAAGTCTTACGAAAAATAACAAACCAAACTCTAAGAGACAGAGTAAGAAGTGAGGAAATACGAGAGAGTTTTGGTATAGAGGAAATAAACACGTGGACCAAAAGAAGAAAAGTGGAATGGAATCAACACATCGGAAGAATGACAGAAAATAGAATAGTACGCATAGCAAGAGACAAATCGACAAATGGAAGAAGATCATTGAGACGACCGAGCAAAAGATGGTCAGACAACGTTAATTGAGGCTAAAAACCGAAGTAAAACAGGCATTAAGCCTATTTATAAAGTAGGAAGAAGTAAGATCCTATTTATAGGATCTTCTATTCATTAAAAAAGTAGTATCTTTATGATATGCAAAAAAATGCTTAAGTGAAGACCACGGGCTGACAAGCGAAGCTGAGGAAGACCCCCAACGCGATGGACCGACGAGAACAGAGGCTCAGAGCAGAAGCAGATGGAAAAATCTAGAGGAGGCCTATGTTCGACAATGGACAACTCAGAGCTGATTAATGATGAATGGTGATGATCTTTATGATGGGATCAACATCTGGGATATAAGGATGGTTCCGGTTACTGGTACTTCTAAATACCTCTGGGACTGAAAGGGTTAAACTCACTTTTGGCACATTAACCACGTTTTACTGTATCTGCTTTTATTGCCTGAGATTTCCTAGCACAAATATAGGGGTAGTAATTTCTTATGCAATTGCAACAAACAACAGCATTACTATTTTATTTTTTACAATAAAAATCTTAATGTAACTTAGTCTCAATTAAAAATTTATTATTTTGTTAGTTTAATTAAAATAAACAAAATAAATATTAAAAAAAGGCATTTATTTATAATTTACTATATTTTAATTTTCTTCATATATACATGGCCAGGTCAAAATTATTCATCAAATTAATAATAAGCTAATGGGGCAGAATAAGCCAAAGAGCCATATCCGGAGTAAGCAACTGGAGCAACATAACTGGCAGCAGCGTATGGGTATGAGTAACTGCTAACCACAGCTGGTGCGCTGTAAGCTGCCAAGACTTGTGGAACTGGTTCGGCCTTTGGTGCGGCGAAAGCTACAGCCAGAACAGCGAACAAAAAAGCAAACTAAAAATAAAAAAAAGGTATATTTGTATGATTAGTAGTAAATCTAAAAATATACGTTAATGAAATATTGTATGGAGGTAAAATAGACAATTTTAATAATTTAAATTGGAAACTAAATGAACAAGAAATTTTATTCATTAAATAACATTACAAATAGTGTATAAATAAAAAATTAATGAATCAAAGTATCTACAATAAAGGATATTTAATATTTAATATCAAATAATAATAAAATTATTCTAATAAAAATATAGAAAATGGAACAATAGAAGATATATTTCAAATAACTACAGAAACTCATACCTAACAACAAGAAGTTACTTGACTTATTCTTATGTGTACCACAACTTGTTCTACACATAAGAATAAGTTCTGCATCTAAGAATATTAAGCTAGGAGAAATCAAATTATATGGATAATAAATATAATTATAAACAAATTTAAAAACCAACAGGATGTGTTTGTATATGTGGAGGAACCTGGGAATGCGGGAATGAGGCGGTAAACAAAAATATTTATGAACTTATACTAACAACATGGATAAAAGAAACGATGTTAAATGCATTAACGATGAGAACGGTAGTAATAATGACAAAACAAGGTAACCAAAGCTTATTAAAAATACCAAGTCACCAATTTACTAATTTACACAATTATACATTTCCTAGTCTCCGATTAGCAAAAGGCGTTTCACAAATTAAATTTAAAAAATACTACAAAATATTAAAATAATAAAAAAACCGAAGAAAAATAATACATGTAATAATTGGAGACTCATAAATAACAATAAATATTGCAAAAGGAAAAAGGGGAGAGACCAGGTGACTTGTTTTCAGCGGTATTATCACTTCATCAGATAATAAAAAAATTCTCATACATAATAGATGTTAAATGCGAAAGTTTTATAAATAATGGGAAATGCAGATGATATAAATGTAGCGGAAAAATAGAAAAGAATCTTTAAAATAGTACTCCAAGAAGTTTACTGTGACGACTGAAAAGTACCAAAAGAAAAGTCAAAATACAGACATTGTAGTAAGATCCGAAATCAAAAGAGCACTTTTAACATATAGAAGATAATTCAGAATAACTGCAAAGACTTTAAACTACCTATTATAATAAACTTACAATTTTGAACATTTTGGACTCTTGATTTGATTTATCACGAAGACAAATGATACTTATTCGATGAGAGACCAGAGCTTTTATATCAAAGTCAACCCACTCATGCGTTTGATATGAATATTAAATGATAATGAATACATTCTAATCCGTTTTGTCAATAATGTTACAGTTTTTTTAGTGTGACTCCAAGGATGTAAACAAATTGCTCGACATTTAATATACTAAATATAATGTTGGATTACAGGTGTGAGCTTTGGTTTTATCATTAATTAGATTTGTTCAAGAAAATTACCAATGTAGGTGTTTTGTAGTTATTGGAAGTTTTAAAGTTGAGATCGAGAAGTAATTAAGTTAATATTTATTCTTGCGTGGTATATTTTAATAATAGAAAACGCCGTTTTCTCAGATAAATAAATGTTGGATGTAAGAGGCTTTTTAAACCGTCTTCTTAACGAATTAGGCCTTACTGCTTGTTCCGTCTCAACTGCCCATCTTCTTCGGGGGCGTTATATGCAGCACCTTTGTCGTAGGTTATATTTTGTGGCTATTTTTGGTATGTGGTTTTCACTCATTCTATCTACATGGAAGTACCAGGTGTTAGGATCGTATTGGTATTGTAATTACCTTATAAAACTTTAATTGGGTATCTCTCCTACATTTATTACCTAGCAATTTCTTCTTATTGTGCCGCACATTCTGTTGAACGTTACTAGCTTATTCTTTGTCACGTTCAAATCCATATGATGTGTTACATCTTAGGTATTTAAAATTATTGATATGCTCCAAGACGGTATTATCGATACCGGTTTTTAGACCTGACATGGAAGACTTTTGTTTTGGTTTTGGAAATATCGCAGTTGTATTTTTTGGCATCAAGGTATAAAAGATGTATGGCTTTGTCTAACCTATCATCTTCGGATGTTATAAGAACTGCATGATCTTCAGCGAAAATTTGAGTATTAATTGAGGTTCTTGGATGGAAAATAATTCTTTTGGGTGCTTTTGCTTTCCATGTTCTAATTCTTCCTGGGTTTACAACTCGTGGTAAGTCTTTGCGCATCCACTATCGCCCTCCATCCTCTACGATCTTGCGCTTCTATTTCCCATTGTTGTACCCCAATTCTAGATATATCGGCTTCAATATCATCCTTCCATCTTTTTCTCGTTCGGCTTACTTATCTTTTACCATCTTGTCTTTAAAAAAACACTGTCTTTAACACTCTATAATCCTCTGATCGTACCACTCTATTCGGTTTGCCTTGATAAGTCTAACTATGTTTTCAGTTTCGTACAGAGTCACCAATTCAGCATTGCGGCATCTTCTCCAAACCCCTGTGAACTCATCTCTTTGAGGACCAAATATCAATCTGAGAACCTTTCTTTCAAATACTAGAAGCTTATTGATTTCCCGCTGGTTGAAAGTCCATGTTTCACTGGCGTATGTATAACCCGACAAGCGAGAGCTGGCGGGTTGCACGTAGAACAAATTGAAAAGTGGAAGGAATTGCTCATTTCTATTGCAGTCGGCTAGGAGTTCACATCGTGTATAACCGTTGAAGTACCTATACTACATACCTATAATCGCGATTAAGTACCTCTCCTATCTCTCTTAGAATAATTCCTTTTCTATTTTCGCGCAGCTCACCCGCCAGCTCTCGCTTGTCGGATTATAATAATTGGGCGAATAATCGACTTAATACAGTGTTAATTTTGATTTTCTTTTTAGCAGCTTCGATCTTAATAATGTTGAAAGGGAGTACAATGCTCTATTTCCCGCTGCTATCCTTACAGAGATCTCTTTTTCTATGTGGTTGTCAGCTGTGATTATCGCCCTCAGGTATTTAAACTCCTTTACTACTTCGAGGTGGTGATCATTAATACTGATGTTCTGCCTAAACACGCATTTTCACGATGACAATTGGCGAGACAATTGTCATTGGACAATTGTCATCACGTGGTTTCGGATTGTTGGAGGCCAGTCCAGTTGAACGAGAAGATGTTTATACGGGGCCAACTATTGCCATGACAGTAGACAGCTAAAACATGACAACTATATGTTTGTGGGTCACAGTGTTGCCACATTTTTTTGTATAAAGTATAGCAGTTTTTAAAATAAAAAGATACTTTGACGAAATTGTATATAACGTTTTAAAAAACTTATATAAAAGTAAAATGTTTCACACTTGTATTTAGGTATATACTTAGGTAAATGTGAAGTGTTTTACTTCTGTATAAGTTTTTTAAACGATGGTATACAGCCAACTATTGGGATTTTCCCATTAATTTTTCTATATTGTTTTGTTATGAGAAGCCACAATTTTTGAATAGGTATAATTTTAAAGCTTTTAATTATATATGTATTTTTCACGTTTTTGTTTAATTATATATGTATTTTTAAATTTACATTTCATATATATATATATATAATATATATATATATATATATATATACATATATATATATATATATATATATATAATATATATATATATATATATATATATAAGTAAATCTTGCCCATAATTTTAATATGAGAGTGTGAAATAATTGAGTATATATATATATCAACACTGACGTATATTAAGCTTACATTTAACGTCAAACATAACTATAGGTTATGTTCATTGTACGAAAATTAATACCCAAATAACACAAATTACTACTGGCAGCACTACTGGCCTACACCGTTCACACGGCACCAATTGTCGCGACAATTGAGATTTCGAATGGTGGAGGGGCTCACTGGGCGCAGCTCATTGTCCTCAGTCTACTCCCGGAGACAACTGAATTTTGGGCCAATTGTGAGGGCAATTGGTCAGAAGTGTTTAGACGAAGACAATAATTCCATGCCAGTCAGTTGTCTTCTGACAATTGTCTCGCCAATTGTCATCGTGAAAACGCGACTTAACTCTTGGTCTTGGATTTTTGGTTACTACCATTTATTTTGACTTTTCTTAATTTATTTGGAGACCCGGACTACCGTTTTTTCTCCTATAGCTGTAAAAACACCTCTCTTACGTCACTTGTAGAATGCATAACTGCATCTATAATATCAGCAAAGGCCAGCAACAGTTTTGATCCTCGATCAGCAAATCCTCCTGTCAGCTCAAACGATATTTTACTGAATGCATATTCTAAACCAAAATTGAACAGCAACGGTGACAAGAGGTCCCCCTGCCTAAGTCCTGAATTTATACCAAATGGCATCGATGTTCTGCTTCCTATCTTTCCTTGCGCATATGAGTCTTTCACGCACATGTGCGTTAATTTGCTTATTTTTGAGAGAAAATCCCAGTTTTTCTCTAATATTTGTCGGATGGTAAATATCTGATCTATAGTTGACCTTAGAGCACGAAAGCCGCATTAGTAATTGCCTAGAATATCTTCCAAATATGGTGTGAGTCTATTTAGCAAGATAATTCATAGCGCTTTATGATGTGCTACTCAGCGATATGATCTATAGTTTCGGAATTTATTGTTTCCAATTATGGCATCTAAATATATAGATAAAAATATTAGCATCCTTGTCACACTTCTTAATTTATTAGGATTGATTTTGTAACTTCGTCAGAACTATTGCCAATAGCTATAGCGGTGTGCCCAAATAAACATCCCACAATTTGATTCGATGTTTTAGAAAGCCTTTATTTTCTAAAATTCCAGTTTATTTTGTATGACTCTAGGTTGTAGTAGTAGTATGACAAAGGTTTCGTGAAATCTGAATTCTGAAGCTTTCGACAAATGAAATATGAATTTCTAGGTTAAATTAAATAAAATTCATGAAGCTTTTCGATTATCTGTTAAATCGTAAATATAGCGGCGAAATTCTCTCTCCGATTGTCGACAAGAATGTAGAGCGTAGAATAATTTTAATAATTTTAAACTGTTTGTCCTTGTTTTAGTGTAGTGTTTTGTACAATTTTATGTTAAAATTCATGTTTATCACATTCTACGCTTGCTGGATAGCCCAAATTTGACGAAATGCCCCTGAAGATGCTGTATTAAGCGAAAGTACTTGGGCAAGATTTGAATAAACTTGTTTTTATATTTGCTTTAATTTTTCAAAGTTTATTTATTCGAGCATTAAACCTCATATCAATGATAATTTTTCAGGTCTGTCGTGTCTCTCTTTTTGTGTATTAGTATTGTTTTAGCAGTATTCCATTGTTTGGGTATGTTGCCTTGGAATAGACATTTATTAAATAATATTTTTAGATATGTGATGGCTTTTTCTCCGCCTTCCTTCAGCATTTCTGCTAGAATTCCATCGCTTCCAGGAGCTTTATACCTTTTTATTTCTTTTACTGCTCTTTCTATTTCCTCGTGGCTTATTTCGGGCATCACTTCTGAGTTGACGTTTGCTATCTGCCTGCCTTTTCAAGTTCTGCTTTGGGGAGTTAGGGGGATCGTTGCAATATCAGATTTACTTTTTTTTAGTTGTCCTTGTTCATTTTTAATGGATATTATATTTTTCTTTCCTAGTTTCATCCCCTCTTTTATTTCCTCAAATTTGGTGCATTTGAGACTTCGGTTTTTCTCTATGATTTGTTCTATATGGTCTTCTTGATGGTTTTTAACGTCCTCTTTTAACTGTTTTCTTATTACTTGATTAGGTTTCTTAAATTCTGCAGTGTCTCTTTTGTTTTGTCTCAGAAGATCTGTTTTTTGTTTCAGCATGTTTTGTGATTCTACAGTTATTTTGGACACACATACATACATATTTTCTACATATATTTCCTTATCATAATTTCACACAATTCTATCCGTTTAAAAAGTATTAACTAAGAAAACACGGACTACGGATAAGCGCTCAAAAAGGGATTGAAAACAGTGTATACAATAAGCAAAAATAAGTAACGATTACAACAGTACAACCGGTGAGAATAAAAAAAGGAGGCAAACCAAGTGGTGGTGAACTGAGGTGGATAGATAGGGTAACACAGTATGCTGGGAAGATCGGTGTTCGGTGATCGGTGTGGTGAAGAAGAGGAAAATCCAAACAAGAAACAGATCGTGATTTTTCTATATGTTTGGTCTCTGATGTAGTGTTCACTAGGTTTGTTTATTAATATAAATTAAAACCAATTATATTTAAAACATTTATTATTTTTAAACTAAAAGAATAATCCATTTTCATTTAACATAAACATCTCCACGTCAAAATCCTCAATTCAATTAATAGTAAGCCAATGGTGCAGTGTAAGCCAAAGATCCATATCCGGGGTAAGCAACTGGAGCGGAATAACCAGCAGCAGCGTATGGGTATGAGTAACTGCTAACCACAGCTGGTGCGCTGTAAGCAGCCAACACTTGTGGTACTGGTTGGGCCTTTGGTGCGGCGAAAGCTACAGCCAAGACGGCGAACAAGAAAACGAACTGAAAAAAAAATAATGTTAAGAAATTTCTTAACTTTCCTAAATTAATTAAATGTTTTCATTACTCAAGATTACATTTTCATATATCAATAAAAAACGCTTCTACTATCACTAGATACGTTGACAGTAGAAACAAGTCTGATTTTTAAAATTGTTGAACTGTTTTTGTATAAAATGTGTTATTGTGTTATATATAACTTAATTTCTCTTTATTGGATTTAACCCCAAATGAATAAATTTACGTTTTACGCTAAAGTTTCGATAAAGACATGGATTACCTGTCGAATCGGCAACTCATGAACAAATAAAAGCTTTTAATAGTATCTAATTTTGAAAGAACCCATTCCATAAAAAGATGCTTCAAGAAATATAAACTAAGACTGAATAAATAAAATATATTTATAAGAATATTTCAAATATTTTGACGCCTTCCGCAATTAAAATTGAATTCGTTTAAAATGGAAACGCATGGAATAATATATGAAATGTATGGATCTAGATTCTGATACAAAAGGTCACACACATGTCGACACCTATAATTGGAGTTATTCGTTCACAGTTAATGTGCATCCGATTTATTGATGCGCTCATTGTTTCATGAATTACCATACGATAACGGATACATGTTAAAAATTAATTGTTAGGTTAAAATTGTAAAAATTCTGGTTATTCTTAAGGTACAGGATACAATCAGAATTTAATCAATGACAGTGAAAGGTACAGTTGCGGTCACGGAATAGTTTACACCTTACTTTATATATTGTAATACTGTAAAATTGCAGTGTCGTACGGATTTGATAAATGTCAAAGTCAAAAAATTTCAAAACGTCAATGCTTTCGCGAGTGTTCAACAATAAAATAAAAGTATATTAAACTCTTTCAAAATGGTTAGAATACATTTGAATTATGCGCAAAAAGCAAGAGCAATTGCCAAACTCGAAGAAGGTTGTTCACTAAGGCAAGTTGCTGCTGATTTGAACGTGAGTCATATGTGGATATGGAAGATTAAACAAAGATGGGCTAATTTTTACTCTATAGCACGGTTGGGCGGTTCAGGAGGGCAGAAGATTTCCACAGATCAACAGGATGAGATGTTAGTAGATTATTTGAGAGAATCTCCTTTTGCCACAGCTCAAAAGGCAAGAGAAGAATCGTCGAAGAATTAAAGCAAGTGGACTGCTAAATTGTGTAGCTGCACGGAAACCTTTTGTGACTGAGGATCACAAGAGGAGACGAGTTGAATTTTGTAATGAATTTATAAACCGCGATGAGAATTTTTGGTCTAGGGTTGTATTTTCCGATGAAAAAGTATTTCAGTCGTATAATAATGGTCGAATAAGAGTTTATAGGCCGAGAAATCATAGGTATGATGAACAGTATACGCATCATTTAAGAAATAGTGGAGGATTCTCTGTCAACGTATGGGGATGGATAAGTGCCGAAGGCCCGGGCGTTTGTTATCATGTAGAGGAGAAGTTAACAGGATTATATTACAAACATATTATTAAGCACACAATGTTGCCATCGGTGATCCAGAGATTCCCCAACAACGACTTTATCTTCCAACATGACAATTGCCCGGTGCATACGAGTAGAATTGTTCGAGAATGGCTAGAAGAAACTGATGTTAATGTTCTTCCGTGGCCTTCCCGTAGTGCAGATTTTAACCCCGTCGAAAATGTGTGGGCAGAGTTAACAAAGAAACTAAATGAAAGAAACCTTAGACCACGGAATAGAATTGAATTATGGGAAGCAATTGAGCAGGCATGGGAAGAGCTTGTTAACTATAACATGAGGGGATTGGTGCTATCTATGAACAGAAGACTGCAAAATTGTATTGACAAGAATGGGGCTTCCACCAAATATTAATTATTATTTATCATTGTTTATCGTTATTTAATATAAAATAGATTTAAAATAAAATGCATATTAAAAAAAAGACTTCTTTATTTTCGTTATTAAGATCATAATCCATTTTATTCAAAAAATTGTTTTCTATATTTTTCATTTTGTAAAATATTTTGATATTTTAATTTTAATCTACCTATTCTAGCTAGTACACCACTGGCAACGTCACTTTGACGTAAAAGGTGCGTTTTAAACGAAGTAAAAATTTAAAAAATGGGCTCCTAGATACGTGAACCTGTAAACTATTCCGTGACCGCAACTGTACATATTATATGGCTTAAAGACACAAAACCTGTATTCAAGAAATAACAACCCCCAAAATCATATTACAAACATACACGCTATGATACATGGGAAATACTATAGTAAAATTCATTAAGCGATGCAGGAAGATGTAAACATTAAATCGTGTCCGAACCGGTATGAGCTACCGACAACGTCGGTAATCGAAATAAAGATGGACATTATTTCGGTTAGTTTTTAAATATTTTTGAAGAACTGTTACTTGCATTTATGCATAAAATATTCATTAATTTTATAAATCGGATTATTTTTTCACTTACTATGTATTCAGTGATAATATTAATTTATTTACTATGCAATAAATACGAATATTTGAGAAAAGAAAAAAAATAATAAAGTGTCATAATTATACTGTTATTTACCGGAACGAGTAGACTCATTTGGAACATCTTTAACAATTATTTGTTAAATTTATCGTTGTTTATATGCCCTGCATCGCTTAATCAAATAAGGTATAGCTAAATGACTTAAATCTATCTTAGGGAAGTAGCATATGATTGAAAAATAAAAATTGTGCAGGGAAGCATAATTGTTTTGGAATTTCGGCATTACGAAAGTTTTCTTAAAATAAAGAGTATTTTCAACCGATATTTTGTACTATCTTTAATTCCCATCAAAAAAAATAATTAAATAAGCAATACATGCTATAAGAAAATAGCCTTAGAATAATAATAATATATTATTTTTGAAAAATATTGTTCAAATTTAGTGGGAGATTTTAAAAAGAAAAAACCTAAAAGTTTTTAAAGGCGGAAAAAACTATCAGAAAGAATAGAAAAAAAAATCAATTCTTAGATTTTTTTAGAAATATAAATAATAATACAGATAAGATAGAACAGATTCAAACGCTGACAAAATATGGAGGACTAAACAATAACAAAACACCGATAAATGATGGACATTGTACTATAACATCCATGCAAAAACGGACTGCAGTTAGAGTATGCAAACTCTATATTCTTTACTTTTAATTAGTTTAATTATAAATTGATTACTCACAATGACTTTAAACTATTAAAATTAAAATAATACTTACGAATTTGAACATTTTAAGAGTTGGTTTGATTTGTCTATAAAACAAATGATACTCTTCTCAAAAACGTTTTGACTTTTATACTAATCTCACCCACTGACTTTATTAATATTATGTAAATTTTTGGGTGTGCTACTTTTGATCGCTATTGTTTTTTATTTTAAGTGTAACATTTTTTTGTTAAATTTATATCAAGGATAATACAAAACCTGTTTAGATGTTTAGGGTAAAGAGGATATGTTTAAAATTTAACAAATTAATTATTCTTTGAATATGAAAAGAATTTAGTCATACAATTGTATCTTCTCTTGCCATGTATCTAATATCTAGAGGTTAATTTTTTGGTTTCAGATTTGTCGTAGCATTCTTTTGTTAATCTATTTATTATGGTTACGGTTGCATTGTAAGTTTTTCAGTTGTCTGAATGTATTTGAGTCCACCAGAAGCAAAACTTTGTATTTACCGTATAAGTCAAACTAAGTTATTTGCAAAAAACTGGTAAATTTTGCTAAAAACCTTAGATTTAATAAATGGCACATTTTGTGATAGATAAATGCTTTATTAGGTAAAATTTAAGGATTTGTTTTTTAGGAAGTCATTGTGTTGGCTAAAAAAGGAAGAAAAATTCGAAAATACCGAGATTTTGCAAGTGAACTATGTAAATACAGATTCATGCAACTAACATTTGCAAATACATGATAATAGTCAACCATTAACAATACTAGTGGTTCTTGGATTAGTCTGTTTTTGAAACCTCTGGTGTTACGAATAATGAAGAAAGCAGGTGCAAGTAAACGTTTAGTCAACAGTTTATTTTTATCGAAAGTACAAAAGGTCTTACAAATTATGTGTATATATTTATATTAATTCCTAAACCCTAAATTCCTCTAGGTCCTCATCATCAATACTATCATTTTCTGCAGCACTCCTCGTTATTATTGGCCTGTACGTCAGTATCTATTATTTTATAATATGTTAGATCGATTGAATGAACGATTTATCAATTTATTTACCTTTCAATGAACATACAATCTGTTGTAACTTGCTTGGTGGTCAGTGGTTGAATACATATTATTAGGGAAGCGCTCAATGTCTAGCACCTTTAAATCTGTACAACAATACACCTTTTTGTATGATTAGAGGTGGAAAACCTAGGTAAATTCTGGTTTCTGCATAAAAGGATTGTGGAGAGGTGTAGACACCTTTTACCTCTTAAGTTTCATTACATGTCGTTTCCATTTTTCTGTTTGTACAACTCCTTGTTTTCTTTTTCCTTTTTCACAAGGTCTAATATATGCATATAAAGATCCATAATGTCAATTATTTACAAAAGGTTGGTGTTTTTAGCACTCAAACAACAAACAATGCACCCAGTCGCCAAACTAAAACAATGTAAGCGATTCGCCAATTGCAATTACAGAGTTATGCAACTGGCATAGGCTCACAAATACAGACTTTTAGATCGGACTCCTGCAAAGTCGGGAAAACATGACTTTGCAGCTGAATTTCTACATAAGCAGATAGCTATAACATGTCACATTTTTGCTCCCAGTCGAGATGTCTTGTGAACGTCAATAAATACCATATGTATACGTTATATTCTGTGGTTTTTTCTACCAGTGTTCTGATGGTTTGTAAGAGATCGTTAGTACCAAACCTTTTTCTTAATCTCGCCTATTCAACCGGTTTGATATAAATCAAGTTTTTGTGTTATGGAGTTGCTTATTATTCTTGTTAGCAATTTGTATAATTGTGACAACAAACTTATAGATCTGTAGTTTTCAATATTAGTAGTGTCTCCTTTCTTGTGTAAAAGTATTATTTCGGCGTTTTCCCACAGACTGGCTATTCTTTTTTTTTTGTTAGACACTTATTCAACAAAACTTCCACAACCTCTACAACGATATTGTCGCCCATTTTTAACATTTCAGACGTTATAGGATCCTCGCCAGGAGCTGTTTTATTTTTCATTTGCTGTAAGGCATGTCTATTTTCCAAAGAAGTTATTTTAGGGAGAGTTTCTGAGCCGATGTTTAGAATTGTTCTATGGTCTGTTCCGGGGTTCTGTGTAGTATATGTATAGAAATTCTCATGGAACGTTTGTATTTCCCAGATTATTTAAGTTTTTTCCATCACCGCATTCCCCTGTTGGTTTTTGATTTTAGTTATCTTTGATTTTCCTTTAGTTAAATTTGATTTCAATACTCTCATGTTTCTATTGTTTTCGATGGTTTGCAATATTTGTTTTGTTTGATAGGCTTGCAAGTCTGACCTTATGCTCTTTTTAACTTTATTATTGATAGCCGTATACTCTAGTGATTCTTTCGATGTTCTTCTTCTTTCTTCAATTAATCCAGTGTTGTTTGCTTCAATTTCGTTTTTCTCGGATATTTTATCACAGATCTTTTTTGCAGTTGACGTTATGTCATTTGTTAATTTTAATGTTATTTCATTTATATCTTTCGTTTTAAATAGTGGTAGCGGTCCTAGTCTCTTTTTTAGTTCATTTTGATATTCCTCTTATTCATTTCGAGTGCTACTATGTTTGGTAATTTATCCTGTGTTAATAATTTTCTTGTATCGAATTTCGTATTTTTTTCTATTCGCACCCTAACTAGTCGATGATCACTACCAGTGTTGACACAATTTAATACAGTAACATCTTTAGCAATGTTTTTGAAGTTAGAGAGTATAAAGTCAATTTCATTATTTAGTTTGCCGTCTGGGCTGTGCCACGTCCATTTTCTCTGCATCTTTTTCTTGTAGAACGTGTTTAAGCAGAAGAGTTTATCTTTCTGAGGAAATTTCACAGCATATCTCCTCTGTGATTTCTACTTCCCAGACAAATTTCCAATATATTCGTTGTCGTTGTTATTTTCTTTCTTTCCTATTTTAGCGTTAAAATCTCCCATAATTATTACCTAATATGTTTTCTCTAAGTTTTTGGCTCTTGTAATGTCTTTATAAAGTTGTTCTATATCTTCATCATCTGCAGAAGAAGTTGGAGCATAACAGTGGATTATTTGATGTAGATAATAGATAGATAATAGATAACTCTATTAGAAATCACTTGAAATTTAGTTACCAAGTTTTCAATTCTCTTACGTACCAAAAAGCCTACGCCCCCTATACCTTGGTTATTTCCTGAACTGTATTGGTACAAAGGATGCCCTGATTTTAATAAGTCGTTTCTTCACCTTTAAGCCTTGTCTCGCATAAGCCTACTCATTTTATGGTCTCAAGTTCTTCTTGCAGTTCTTCTAGTTCCGATGTGCATTCTGTGTGTACTAAGCAAATTCTTGCCTTCCCAGATTCCAGGAGGCAGACCCTTTTCTGGGTGTGGGATTTAGCATAACATACTCCACCCCCTGGGGACTCTTTCCGTTCGTTTTTGTATTCGGCATGCCTGTATAGTTGGAAGGATGAATAGCCTTAAAACACCATGCTGGCTAGGTGGGTCGAAGAGTTTTATATCAGCCGCCCAATCTGGGTCAGACGCTGTTCGTAGCCGTCTATTCTGGATCAGACGCTACTGTTTTGATTCTATATTAACCCTATAATCGAGGGTTGCACTTCCGTCATCTGCACCGTACTGAAGCTCAGCTTTTCCACCGTGACTGCCGTTATTGACTTTATTAGTAACCCTGGACAAGGGACCCTAAACAGGTACTAGTTTCGCGAGTCAGGAAATTCCCAAGAAAATTCGATAATATATCTTGTCATTCAGGCAAAATTGATAATTAACTAAATGGCAGACATCCTTTATTTATATTTTAATTTCGTAGCCTCCTCTATTAGGATATTTTTGATGACTCTGTTAAAGCTTTTATAAAGAATTTAAAATAATAAGTTGTTAAAATAAAAATATTATTTAAGTCCGTATTTTTATTATACACCGAAATCTAAATCTAAATAAAAAATATAAATACCATAATCACGATCTTACTGAATATTTTTACATATAATTAGACCTAATAGTACATCTCAAGATTATATCTATAGCCACTACATTAGCATGAGTTTTTGCACAGCATTAATCAATAAAAGTAATTTGAGACACCATTAACGTAATAAATATTCTAATTTAATACTTGTTTCTGTGAATAATTATGACAATTATTAGCCGTTATCAGGAATCATTTTTGACAGCTTTATGCAAAATAACATTATGCACATGATAGTTAACATAAAATACTTTAAATTATTTATAAAATCGGTATTTACAACAATAAAATGTTAGATTTTACAATAACTATTTTTTATATTCATAGGTAAAAAATTTTTGTCTAAAATACAAGTTATATTATGTGTTTTTTTTTTGAATTTTCTTACAAAATTCTTTGCACGTCGTCTATTGGTTTGGAAAGCAAGTGAAAACCACGATACACTTATACCGGTATGCCGAACGCGCATCTTCAGTGACGTCACATCGATGCAAATCCTAAATACTACCACATCCTACGTTATTTAATGTTGGTTAGGTTGAGTGTTTTTATTTTTAATTTATCCCATTGTGGATTTACTAATTTACAATTTTTAAATCAAATACAGTTGTAAATGAAACGGCGATATTGAGATACAAAAATACTTTTGAAAGAATTTATAAAAATGAAATTAAAAAAAATTCAATGTTATTGGAATTTAAGAATATTTATTTCAATATAGAAAGCACTTTAACAGAATAATGTTTTAATACTAAATACTAGGTATTTATTTATTTTTTTTACGGTTTGTAAATTTTAACATTTTTATTTCCAGTTTTCTTTTACAATTTTCAAAACTAATTTGCTTATTAATTTCTCGCAGTCTTATGTAGCTTCTGGTACGACTAAGGCAATAAATAACTCCATAAGTTATTATTACTTCATTACCAAGCTTGACAACAGTAACAGTAACAGAAAACATTATTCTGTTAAAGTGCTTTCTATATTGAAATAAATATTCTTAAATTCCAATAACATTGAAATTTTTTTTAATTTCATTTTTATAAATTCTTTCAAAAGTATTTTTGTATCTCAATATCGCCGTTTCAT